CTGATTTGTTGCTCGAGCTAATAAAAAATAAACAAAATTGTGAAACATCAAACAGAAATTTTTTCTTGTTTCTTTCAAAGATCACTTCGATAATGTCGTACATGCGACGAGAGAAATTTTGCCGCTGATTATCGAGCACCAAAGTAGCAATTATCCGGGCGTCACGTCGCATACTCGTAAATGGCACTATGGTACGACTAATATTATCGCCATTAGCAAAATGCAACGGTCGAATCGTTAATTATAGTGGAATTCCCAATTCGCTACATTTGTAGTCTCGATTAATTGCCGCATTTGCAAATCAGCATAGTTTCGTTACTGCGCGCCGATCGAAGAAAATAAATATGCAAACGATATATAAAATCATCCTGGTAATTTATTTATTTCTTCCCGAGCCGTGTTAAGAATAAATTATATAATACATTTTTGCTGTGTGTATGATTTTCTAATAATAAAAATTCTAATTTATAAATCCAATTTCATATTAATGTGAATTATTTTAATACGACACATCAATTACAATATTTTATTTTTAATGTGACAATCAGAGAATTCTCACTTCGTATATTTCTCTTATTTCAAGAAACCAAAATCCTCCTTACAGTTTGCGGCGCGATCAGTGTGGCCATAAATCGCATTTTTCACGTCATATCGCGACTGTTCGAACGCGTTCGCATACATTTGAGTCGGGTGTTCACAAGGGAGCGTAAAAATAAATGGCAATAAATTCACGAAGGGAACGAGCATTCGTGGTCGTGGGTAGGTCAGCATGGAAAAGTAATTAGCAATAAATTCTCGCGCTCTATATATAATATATAGCGCGCTCTCCGACTTCTTTATGCTTCATCGGATTACATCTTTCAGATGAGGAGAGAGCGTGTGGGTTACGTTATTTATAATCTTGTAGCTAGTTTTTGGGAGGTTTCGCGAAGTATTTTTTTTTTTTCTATTTTGCACAGAAAGAGAGAGAAAGAGAGAACAGAACAAAGAACCTTTTATTTATATTCACCTAGAAATTCTATTTATTTACCTTTTCTTTATTTTGCAAACGGTTCCGAACAATATTTCCTCGATGTTTTGATCGTATTGTCTCTCTCGTCCTGGTTATTCGTTTTTTTTTCTTTTTTTTTTTTTTTTTTGAGGAGAAAATCGAGAGGTGTGGCAATGGAGATTCACGGATTCAACAATCCCTCGCGCTTCGAGAATTTTCCTAAATAACTTGATAGGTCAATTCTCGATTTCTGTCGCATACACGACTCGCTCGTTCTAGTATTTTTACGGGCTTGCTTTATCGTATAGCAATTGGACGATTGTTACGTGTACAGCTCGCAATATTGCCTGGACGCGTTGGTCTGGATGCGTTGAAAAAATTGATCAAAGCTGACTTGCGGATGTAGGAACGCAATTGTCTCTCGCAAAGATCCGAGGGTACACGCATGACGGAACACGCGGAGAATTGGCTTCAATTTCGCGTCGCATCGGTTGTTCGTGTAACAGAGAAGAAAAATATATACAGAATTGCGTTTGTATTATTTCACAAAGCGCTCGCAGCGCGTTGTTTTGTGTTTATCAAAAATCCAATTTCGCGCATGCGAATCTTATTATTCAAGAAACAAATTAACTTCTGACAAGAGAAAACAAGAAAACTTTCACAGAGAATCACGCTCAGTAAATAAATCTTTTCGCAATACGGTATATATAAGCTCAAGGTGTCTCGCGCTTTTATACAGAATATTAAATAATAGTATGAGAGAAATTTATACCTTGCGAGAGGAATTTTTAGTACATTATCGCATGAATGCATTATCCAACCGAGCGTAAAACGTACGAGGTCATAATCGGTCTCCATTGAAGCTAGCGCCGATTACAGCTCGCGCCCCGATGCGATATGCGAAGAATATCCGGGGGAGAAGGGGTGCAATAGAGAGGGCATATATCAACGTGGCGCGAAACAATTTCGATATTTGTGGTATGCGACGGCGATGCGGTTTATGGATGCAATTCGATCGTATGCGCCGCGCAAGCTTTGTATATTTCCGCCTCTTTCTCCATCCCCCCGGTTTCTCCTCGTCCGAATATTCAGTCGCGCATTCCAGCGATGCCTTACATATGGAACGCAATGCGAAAACCCAAGGAAAACGACATTGTCACGAATTCTTATCGCAATTCTTCTTTATTAGTTAGTTTTTCCAACGACAATTACCTGAGACACTCCCTCACAATCCGGTCGTGTTAACATAGACGCAAATAATTCGTTTGAAAAGCGGCTTTTTTACATAATTTCAAAAAAAGCTTCGAAGTTGATAACGTTGCTCGTCGATGAGATGCCGCAAATATACATCATTTCCGTCCTAAAATCGCTTTTTCCAAGAAAAACTCGACATTTTCGAACTTCCTCTCGAACTTTGTTCGGATCCAATTATTTTTACGTACGTTCAGAAAATCTACACGTTTTAACGGATAAATTTCTCTCTACGTTTATTCCTTAATGTGAATAAATTCAATCACTTGAGGAGATTGTATAAATTGGAATTATTTTAAACACTTGCTTCCCTTCCGTTGACAACAATGTAACTACTCACCAAACGTCGGCAACACCGAGGAATGAAATTGTTCGCAGCGCGGATCGATTTCCTCAGTCAACCATTTTCTGCTCTGAGATAAACCGAATACAACCGAACCGGAAACAATGAATCTATCTCACGTCGATCGTTCGGCACCAATTCTCTATCGTCGAACACGCACAACGTGTAACGTAATGTTATTACGCGTTCTATTCGCACGATTAAACACCCTCACAGAAGTGAATTTCTAATCAAATTTCTCGACGATGTCGATTTAGAATTAGGGAACGCTTGTCCATCGCTTTGAATCGACTCTCTTCATCTAGACGAACTATTCTGGAACATGTACACGCACACACACACATTCTCTCTATTGTTTTCTAAAATAAAAATTGTCACTTTACGTTTTTATGTACCTATTTTATTTAGCATTTATATAATAATAATAATTTTATGTTAAGAGAAACAGCGCTGCTTTTCTCTTTCTCTCTTTCTCTACCACTGCTGCTTTTTTCTATTAAGAAAACAAAACTTGAATTTTTAATCAACTTTATACATAATTTTCCCTCAATGTCATTTTTTTTATATTTGAGTCAGAATAAAGTGCAACAACAAATTTTGTTAGCTCAGAATCTATTAACTTAGGTGATCAAGCGTGTTTAAAATTGGATTGGAAAACAGCGTAATGCTCTTGCAAATTGAAATTCTCTCGAATCGCTCGAAACGAGCGCGAAGTGTCGCGTATATTCTTTGGCGAAAAGACACGACGATGGCGTAGTAACGTTCCATTGGAAATCAGCCGAGCATAGTCGAATGTTTCTGGTTTGGCATTGTGAATCCAATTGATATCCCGCCTGGAGTTGTGTGTGTGCGACACAACAATAGACACAGGTCGGAGGTCGAGATCTCTCGTATCGAAATGAATCGTTATCAAGAGTCCCGAAGTGGTCTCTTTCTCTCGTCCGTTGGCGGAAAATAGCGCAATAATTTTTGAGAAATTGCTCGACCGAGTTTCCGGCTCATAAATCGTCAATAGAGCATACACTGTACTATGAATGCAATTGGCCCAGCCGTACAGCGGTTCTATCAGGATATCGCTTGCGAGTTCTTGCGACGGATCGTTCAAAAAAGAACAAAAAAAAAAAAAAAAAAAAGAAAGAAAGTAAAAACCACGCTCAAGCGTTATCAATCAAAAGAAGATACCGCAATATGATGATACGAAAGCAGGTATCCGCAATTTCCGAGAACATTTATCTTTAATTTACTGAAAAAAAAAACTAATTACAGTTTGTAATTTAGATAATTATACTGAATTCAATTATTCACATGGTGCAGCAGCTGATCGTTGTTATTATGCACGCACCAGATATTAAATAACGCGCGTGCTTTTGGCATTATCGTTCATATTACGCATTAACTTCAAACGCAAAATCATATTATCATCGCAAATTAAAATTTACCGGTCGGATTCATATTCCAGTTCTGATCTACGAATCGCTATATAAATTTTGTATCAGAGAAAACCTAACTACGGCTCATCAACATTCTTCGGTTGTGCAATCGACTTTTGCCGCGCTATTAAATTTTTCGCGAATCACGTTATAACCTAAGTCTTCGCGTTTCTGTGCCTTCGCTCGATTATTTTCACCGTCGATAATAATTTTTCTCGTTGAAACGGCGAGCGTCAATGCGGAAAAACTCGTTAACCTCTTTGACGAGCTATTACGTTAGCGTTATTTCCAATTTACGCTGCGGCTGCGATAATTCACAATTGATATACGAGCTTTATTCGTTAACAAATTATTTCATTTGAGAAAATTATTTGATTTTGTGTTTATTAAAAATACAATTACCAATTGTAACCGATATACGTGTACTTTAAAGCGATTACGAGCGACTGACCTGATTAAATAGCTAATGACCGGAGATTATTGTGAATGATATTTTTTTTTTTTTTTAATGTTAATCAACGCCACAAACGGCTGACACACAATTGACATTGTTCACTTACACGTATGGTAACAATATAATAAGAAGTAAGTACAATGTAACGATATAACGCCAAAGTATACGAAGTAACGGAAAACTTTCAACCGCGTAAACACCCACCCAAGGTTAATCAAGACGCAATGTTATCGCAAAACTTTAGATTCGCGCGAAAATACCGAAAGGAAACGCGCGGGAGTGCGGTAACGAGAGGGGACGGCGGGAACGTCGGGAATTTGAGAGAGAGAGAGCTCTGCCTCTCATCTCGGTCGTATTAGGAAATTGCGGTGCTCTTGCACGACGCGACGGTGCATCCAGCGTAAATTAGAATGCTGCGGCGACGCGAGCAGTCGCGAGTGTGCCGCGCGGCATTACCGGCATTAGTGTGCCGCACGTTTCGCAACTGGTTAGATCCAATTTAACGTTCTGCTCGCTCTCCTTGGGTTTCAGATCTGGACACGATGCTGTACGGATACACGAACAGCATATACGTGCTGGACCACACGCCGGAATCCTTGCCGGTGAGTACAATTCGAAGCGTAATGAGCCACTTAGGCGCAGCTGCTCTCTCGCGATCTCGCCGAGAGAGAGAGAGAGAGAGAGAGAGAGAAATGCTTCTCCCCACGTAAGCCGAGTGAAATTACACCCCTATACATTGATACCGTCTTGATATTATCGCTGTGTGTACTTTACATTAAATAGTAGTACCGCGTACATATTGCGGATATATAATTCGCTATCTCGAATTTTACTATATAAAACACAACCCTTGACGCGACGCCGAACATATTAAAGAAAATTAAATTAAAGCAAACACGTGAACGTCGAAATTGCCAATGTGTAATGCACGATCGGATCGCAAACGTTGTTGCGGCGTGGACCGTTTGCTGCAACTGTTATCGTTGTAATTACGTAGGGAAGAGACCGGTGCTTTGTAGTGGTAAACAGACTAGATAACGCACAACGGTGCGCGGTGTATATCGAATACGTAATATCGATGCGTGTGCTGTTGTCGAAAACTGTTAACTTTATATAACGTTGTGGATAGAACACCGTAATTATATATACATATACGGTGTGTATACATAACTCGATAAAAGCTGATTATTTGCTTGTGATCTGTGCTATGTAATTGGCGAAAGTTGTCCGCGCGACTTCGCGTACGCAAAATATAACCAATTACTCGAAATCCATTATTCCGCGTTCCAGCGGATTCTCGATTAGATCCATCAATTATTGTCATAATTGCACAGCCAAACTCTCTGTATTATGTCATGCGTAATAACACACGGATCTCAATCACAATTGCCAATTTACCAGATACCTGATGTAATTAATCAAACCGTCATATAACTGTAATCAGCGAGAGTTCTGAAGACTTGACGAGACTAAGACTTGGGCCAAACACGGATGGCGCGCGATAAATTTTTATTTTTTCCCATGATTTTTTTTTTTGCGCAACATCAAATTCGAACTTTAATTAAGTTCGACGAAAAGAGCGCTCGCGCGCTCTCATTTCGCTGCTAATTAATTCGATATGCGGAACGAGCTTTAATTTGCAGAATTGTTAATAATAAACAATCACGTGTCTCACCTACGTTCTCCATATTTAAACGATTACCCGTTATCAAATAACCGTTACAGACTTACCCATTTGCATGTACAAATGTACACAAATCCGCTTAGATATCCATTAGATGGCTTTGTATGCGCTCTCGTAGTTGCGCGCTCGTAGATAATGATAATTACTGTAATTTACATGGAATAGAAATTCTATCACAAATACCGTACACACATGTCGCGTATATGTGATAATGAATAATACGGTAATGTAATTTTTACGGTGTTTCTTATATCGAATGAGGAACACACACGAAATTAAATTTAAACAAGTATTGCGTATAATTGTTTACACATTTGATTATGTGTATATTGAACGCGCGCGAACGAGTTTAACAACACGCTAATGAAAAATAAAGAAAATATTATTGTTATCCTTTCATTCTTTTTGCATTTAATTACAATCGAGCGATATTTTCCGCCGCGGTTAATAAAATTCATCTTTTCAAACCTTTAAATCGCATTTAACCGTCGAGTCGCACAAAAGGTGCCGATACGAACATCAGTTTATACTAGTCGTTTCGTTTATAATAACACACGTACGTACGTTGATATGCACATTTCCTACAGAAACATCATAATAATTGCCGCAGGAACAATCTCTATCACAAACGACGTTGCCAATGGCAAATTTATTCATAAATGTACATAGTGATCTAAAGTCGATCGATGCTCGACAGTGCGCTTGTATTATTATTCAAATTACGTCGAATACATGGTCGACAGAAACTTTATTTCATAAATGTTGCGATTGCGACACACGCACGAGTTTAATAAGAACTAAACTATGTAAACGCGCTTCGTCATAATTAATGCAGAAAATATTTTTGTTTTCTTCTTTTCCTCGTTGTCCGATACATTCGTTTAGCAGTTTTATCAGCTTCGTGTGCAGCAAGTTTCACCAATTTCGTAATATTGCGTTAATGGGAAATTGTCGCGATAGAAACGTGTAGCGTTTCCCGGCGCAAATTCGTGCAATTATCGAACGATTCAAAAAACAAAAAAAAAGAAAGAAGAAAAAAGAACGATTTGTAATTTACGGTGCGCATCGAAGCGATACGCTTACCGAAGCGTAAAAAAATGCATTAATTAAGCGAATGTCGTTCGTGTCAATTAAAGTCTTTTTTTTATATCTCGCTGCATACGTTTGTTTCCACACGTCTCGCACAAAAATAAAAAAAAATCAAAACAGGTTTGTTTCACGTTCGTTGTTGTGTACTTAATTCGAAAAATGACTTTTTTTATAATTAATTGTTTTATTTTGCGTGCAAATATTTTATATATTTTTCTATTTTATAAAATTTAATTTTAATTCTATAAAATCGAAAACAACAAGTATGGAAAATTATGTATCTATAAATTAAAATCTGGCGTAACAGCGTACTGTGATTGCAATTTGCAACAGATGGAATTACATTCAAATTTTTTTTTTATACATAAAATACATTTATTGTTGCATCAATGTTCGTGTAAAATTGCATACGACATATTCTTCTGCCGCGTTCAATTCGCATATGGTAATTATCATTTTCGTGTGTAAAGATGCAAATTTTCACGGTGTCAAAATGGATTTTAATAATGACAAAACTCTTGCCTCGGTTTCGATAAAAATGGATTTGTCACGCGCGAACACCGTTAATTTGGACGTGTATAAATGTATGACATGTCGCTTCGCGATATTAATTCTCAACTAAACATCCTCGGCGAACAACGTTCTCTCATTACCTGCTCATCGGCACGATGAAACGAACGTAATTATCCTGTTTCGCAAATCGTTCTCTGCGTGTACCTGCTATATATGCAAGCTTTTGTGTATATAGAAGGTACACGCAGTCATGTCTCTTTCCGCCCCTGTCCGCTACCCCTTTATCGAAAGTTTCTCATAGAGTCCGGGTATTAATTAACTTAATTAGCTAGGTTCTCTCTCTCTTTCTCTCTCTCTCTCTCTTGCTCTTCATTAGCAGCAGCCCTCTCTCGATGGTTTCTGCTGACAATAGGAGGTTACAAGAGGAATTAACGATAATAAAAAGAGGAGAGAGAGAAGAGTGTCAGATGAGCACTGCGCTCCCGACCAAGCAAAATGCAGCTGCATATTATTGCTAATCCTTTCCGACAGAATGATGAATGATAAATGATCAAAGAAATAAAAAGCTCACGCTTGAATAGTGACAAAGCGCATTTGCTGTTTAATGACGCTGGATAACGTCGCGCGGAAAACATTTAACATCGAGAGAAAGAGAAGAATTAAATCGTAAAATATGAACGAAAGAGAGAAAGAGAAAAATTAAATTGTAAAATATGAAACGCTGAATATTCGACACGTACCGTTCCATTGTGAAAAATCTGACAATAGTATCACGTGACATAACGACGATGTAACAGCGCCAATTCAATGTATGAAAAATTGATGCATCTTAATGGAAGCGCGGAAGGGAGTTTTTTTTTTTTTTTTTACCAGAAAGCTATTTTTGCACAAACGTGAAGCTACTACTATCGTTCTTTCTGCTACTACTATCTTCGTATTTTCGATTTAAATACATAATGTTGATTAAAAAGTACAGAATTTAAAGATCTCTATTAAAAAAGATCTTTTTCCTGAATTGGAAGATGTCTAATTACGATTATATTTATCTCGATACACGCGTATCTACGCGAGCTACCGACTTTGATGAGATTATGTTTCCGCTCGATTTTGTAAGATGAAATATAATGGATGTAACATACAGCGAGTTATCTTGCAGTACAGTAAGTTTTTTAAGTAAAAATTATTTTCTTCTCCTATAGCACACTAAGTCTCTCTTTCCTCTCTCTCTCTCTCTCTCTTTCTCTCTCTCTCTTTCTGCAGAATTACCTCGCGGCAAAAAGTCTTCGTCAGTTCTATCTAAGCCCTTTCGACCGAGTTATTTATCAGCGCTGAAGGATTCAAGGAGTAAAGTTGGCAGCGCAGCCGAAAGTACGGCGAGATATGCGTCCCATGGGACCAACCCGGGATTCTGTCTTCTCCTGTACACACCACGTTACATCGAATCAGCTCGGTGCTTGTTATCGCGATTTGATCTTTTTGGCATCTCTCATAAACTCCTTTCGTTCGCTGGCGACTATCCCGAAGATGACATTACCCTCGGGCGATGCGATATAAAGTAAAGACCGCTCCGTCGAAAAAAAAAAAAATGACCATGATCTTAAAAAAAAAAAAAAAGATTTTGTCTCCCGAGATATAATCTCTTTATAACTGACGCAGCATCGATTCATCGAGCTACAAAGTTTGAAAGACACCGCTTTTATTTTTCTTCTTTAACAGATTAATATTAGATAAAAGAATTTTAGCCGCGAAAATAAATAATTGTTATCATTTTAGCTTTGAAATAACAGCTCTGGGTGCAGAAGTTCGACAATGTCGCAATTATTATTATTTTTTCTTCGTGATAAAACAATTTGTTTAAACAGTATGAAAATTTGCACGTACTGAGTATTGCAAAAATTTATTATTTTCAAATCACACGTACGAAGATTACTGTGATATTATAAATATGTTTATTAAATATATCTGATATATATATATCTGATGCAATTGTCCGCGCAAAATAACAATATACACAAAATATTTAGAATTACGACTTCACTCTGGACGCAACTATACTAAACAATAATAATTGCACGTCACTGTCGAAGTTTCTTAGTAGTAACATATTGACGTTTTCGTATAAAGTTGAAGTTACACTAACCGCATCTCTCTCAAAGGAGTAGCGAGAGAAGACAGTCATGTACAAGATGTACTCTCTGTCGTCACAAAGGAATCACTCCCGAACGTGTTCCTCCGCGAATTTGTCGGCAAGAGATACTGATTGATTTAAATTAAATCATTACTCAAAATGTAACTGAAAGCCCATTCTGCTCGCGTAATTTACATTTGAGTCAAGTTGATACAAAGTGAATTATTTAACCGAATGTACGTGACATTCTAACATTTTTAATAAAGTTTTAACTTTAAAAAAAAAAATTAAACTAAAATAGTTAACAAACGTGATTTTTTTGATTTGATGATATTTTTAATCAGTCTTTAGATTTCACACGGAGATTATTCTAAGAATACTCGGCGTGTTTTTCGTCTGTGAGTGGTACTTTTATCACCCCCGTAATGCGAGGCTGTTCAACGAATTCGTTTTTCCCAGTTGCATTGAACGTACCATCGGGCTGAATTTTCTCCGAGAAGTTTCTGTTTTTCCGTTTGAATCCTTTCCGAACTATCTACATTAAGGATGAAGCTTAAGCTGCGCGTTTCGACCGCGCACGCAGATGAAGCTCGTTGTGCTCGCGAAAAGTGTAATTTTGGTGAAAGTTCACAATGCGTAACCGTGGGCTTTTAAAACCGCATCGTTGCTGCTTCACTGGATAGCAAGTTTCAAAGCTCTCAGCGAATTCGACAAAAAGCTTCTTTCGTGAAAATACGACATAAGCAAGCATTTGGTTTTGTTATACAGACAATAGAGAGCAAATCACGGACGTAGTTATTGTTTTTTTTCGACGCGCTGAGAAAAACGATGCGGTAAAGATTGTCAAAGTATCAGAAAAGTGGAAAATTGCTCAAGCCGGAAATTGAGATATCTTCGCTCGAAATTTCTCTCATAAGTTGAATGCGATTATTATTCGATCCCAATTATTTTCTTCCAGTGAAACGATTCGTAAGCCCGCGGTATTGAAGCCCATGTTGTTGAATGAACAAGTTCGTTCAGCGAGTGATTTTTAATGATCTCTACGCAATTAAGCAAGTCTCTCTCTAGATGCTGTTATCTGTTCGACTCTGCGTTTAAACTTTTTCTGAGTAAACCTTTATGTGTATATTACGTGCGTATGTGTGTGTGTGTGTATTATATGAAAAAGTTTCCTTGTTAGAAATACGATTTCAACAAATTGCATGTAGTCTTTCTCTCTCTCTCTCTCGATATTTTTAATGATGTTCTTGTAATTTGCTTTTGACTACACGAGAATGGCGTGAGACTACAATTACGATTGAAAGTTTGGTTTAAGTATAAAAGTTGGATCATTAGAAGAAGTATTACAAAGTAAAATCCGCGAATACTCCGGGATCGTAGTCCCTCAATTTTAATTACGTCACGTTCGTATTCTGTTTTCAAAGTTCTATACATACGTATACTTCGAGAAGATAGAAAGTGGTAGAAAAAAAGAAAATTTTTATCTTCATAAAAAAGAACTGCGTATCTACAAAGCACCATTTGCGTCGAGAGGAGGACATTAAAAAATAAAACTCAGGAAGGAGAAGACTTGCGCGCACAATTTTAATAAACGCGTTTCTGAAAAACACAGTAGGAAATTATTACGAGAGTTTCCTTCGCACGGAGATTTTCTTTTTCGCGGAAAAAGAATAGCCCTCACGCTAGAATCGCGTTTTTAACGCCACAATTTTAATAATAACAACATGTACATATCGATCTTGACAGCATGTGTCCTTTTTTCGAAAAACGGGAGTTTCGTGATAACTTGCGATACAGGTCGGCGTTGTTAGAAAAGTCTTACGCGTTTGAGAACGCGTTGCGAACGAGATCTCGCCGAGTTCTCGACAATACGCGAATAGGATTCACGGAAAGAGAAGATTCGAGAGAGTGTGTTATCTTGTTAGAGAAACTACGGTGTTCTCTTGGAGGACAACGGTGTCCTATCGTTTCTATAACAAGCATTGATTTATAAACAACGTTGTGAGACATTGTTTTTTTTTTGCTAATTCGAAACCTCACATTAAATATATATCCGACACAATGAAGCTTCAATGTTGTCCTAATAAGATAAATTTCTCGGGAGTGAGAAATAAAATTGCGAAGTATTTCGTACAATATTTCAAAAATTTGTAATCGTGATTAAAACTCGTAAATCTTCAAGTAAATTATCGTTAGTAACAAAAACACAGACCTTGTACCGAGAAGTTGTGCAATTTTTACAAAAAAAAAGTTGCATCTTAGATAAGTTGTGCCGACTGCTAATAGTGGTTGAACATGCTCGATGTCGCGACGAAAATGCAAACGCGAACGTCACTAATTATCGAACGTATGATCGCAGGACATGGATATGCTGCAACTGTTCGCGTCTCCGGCAGGTCGAGCGCTGCTCGCGAGCGACAATCGGCCAAGAGGATCGACGTCGACCTCCTCTTTGTCACGAGAGTCCTCGTCGAGATTGAAGAGCGGTAGACGGCCATCGGGTACCGGCACAGTTAGCGCACCTACGTCGCCGAGACGGCGGAAGTCGAGCGCCGAGCTCTACAAGGAGGCCGTCGAGATCCTCGGCCTCACTTGCTCGCTGACCGATAGCTGCCGGTGCATCGATTGCCAGGTAATTAATCAATTGGCACTTGACCTGGAACGCTGACCTGTTTGAATCTTTTGCACGGTATTACGCAATATGGGCAAAAGTTGCAAAACACATCGAATATGTGACGCATCGTCGAAAGGCCATAACTTCGAATGAAATTCGTTGATAAATGTAGAGAGATTGTTAAGAAATATTTCAATATCTAAATACAAGATGTGTGTGTGTGTGTGTGTGTCAGAATTATCTATATTTTTAATTAAAATTTTGTTAAGATAAAATTCCCATCTACTCTTGGAGTTGCAATTTTGTGACTTTTTATAGTTATAACAGAGTTAGGGAACAAACTTGGCGAGATGTACTTCGGTAACATAGTTGTCTCCCTCTCTTGCAAAGTTCAACTTTTCCTACATATTACACGGTTCGTAAGTATTATATTCCAGCCATCATGCAAATTGGCGCCAGTTGAGAATTCTGTTTAAAGAGAAACCGAGAAATATCAAATTGAATTAAAAATCTACAATTCAATCTTTTTTTTTTTTCCGCGCGAGCCAATTATACAGTCTACGTTAATTACTTTGAAACGACACTAACAATTTGTAAATTGAAGTCAGCAACGGCTAGTTTGTGTAATATAATTGAACAGCTCCGTTACGAGAATTGCTTGTCACGGAACAAACGGTTTTTTTCGTTAATTTGTATACATTTTAGCTCTCAGTTCGTTTAGTTTCAGCATCATCATTATTGCTAATGACGTTGTCTTGATGTAATCGTTCGCTTAGAAATTCGTTCGATTGTGACCGTGGATCTTCAAATCAAATGCGTCGTATTTTGTTGCAACTCGCTGCTGACATTAACTATTTTTTCTTGTTTTTTGCGCAGAGCAACTACTTCGACTGCGATGACGATTGCGCCGACGCCGGTACGGAATTGGCTGCTGGCACTCCTATTCTGTTGGACCATGCATTGTCGCATCATCTGACCGTGTGTTCCATACAGTAGCAGGCTACTGGCAGACGAAGGCTTCGAAATCTGTCCCCCATTAGCCCGCTCTGCCACACGTTTCAAAAGAGGATGATAACGTCATCGACACGTCGACATCTCTCGACAAGCGCGCAACGTTTGCGTTAACAGAAATCAGCGAGACTGAAAGCAACCAACCACGCGATATCACACAGAGATCAAACACGCAACTGAAAAACTCGAGTCGTTATATATTGTCTTGTTTCGCAGATATTTTTAGAATTTCATGCAAATATATATATATACATTTTCTCCTGTTAACACACAAAACTAATCTGGCAATTTGCGCGATTGCAAACGATTACCCGCTCGCAATATGAGTTTTATTCACAACACGAGTTTTTTTTTTTTTTTTTGTCAAAAACATTCGAACTCGATTGTTTTCATACGTGTAATCAATTATTTCAAAAAATTATTTGAGAGTGTTCACACACACGTACACGCATGTTATTTCCTTTCAGTTTAGCGTGCGTAACACGACTCGAATGTTTGTATCTCGTCGAAAATTCGGTTTTAAGACGTATTGCGTTCAGAAACGATGAAAAAAAAAAAGCACGGCTCAAAAATTATGCCAAATAGCGCCAAATTTACAATAGAATTCTAATGAAGATTTAGCCCGCGTCGCATTCATCTCTATCGGATTATACAAGTCATATATCGATATCGGATCGCCCGATATATGAATTCCATATTATATACATACATATGTATACAAAATGCGTACATATTATATTTACATGTGTTTTATTATTAAATATATATATATATATATTTAAGTTTAGCAAGAGAATACGCAATTGTTAAAAAAAAAATAAATAAATAAATAAGAGCAAGCGCTCGCAAGCTAAATGAGGGAGAAAGCGTTCCAGCGAAAAACTGGACTTTTCGCGCGATGTTATACATAGACTTTACATATATGTCAGTTGGATATATGTGTGTGTTCGATTAAGTTTTCTAAACTAAACCCCCTTCTATATCGAGAACTCCACGTTGAGTTACGGGAGATGCGAGTAATATATTATATAATAAAACGAGCGAGTTTCCTCAACCGACGCAATCTGTAACGCATTATATTATATGTGCGGAAATTCTAAATAAAGAATTTCGAAAAAAGAATTATTATTATAGAGCTGAAAAGAGGTTGAGGATACTTCTCTCGTAGCGTGTAATAGTAAGCGATGTAACGATAAACGAAGTTAGGCCTGAATTATGTTGCGAACTTCAAACTGGGTGACGAAAAATCAAAGAGACGTGAGACGTGAGGAAATGTATGTGTAGCTTTCGTCGCGAGTGGTTAGAAAAAGCTTAGCGATATATCGAAACAGGATTTCGACAAGAGAGTCAAGTGCCAAATAACTCGTTGCTAAGCTTGCCAGATAAATAATCGAGTTGTTAAGAAGAAAAACTTGCGCGTGTGTATATTGATTAAAATGTTACGTTATATATCACGAACGCTCCGATAAAAAAAATTTTATACCGAGGTGAAGTAAATTATTTACCTTCATATTTAATCTCTATAGAAATCCGATATATTTTATGTTCGCGCAATTTTTTTGCTGTGTTATATTAAATTTTTTATTTCTACAATACGCGTAACGTTCTATTAAATTAATGCGCGCATTTCGAAGTTCAAATTATATATACCTATAATTATATACAACAATGCAAAAATTAATATCCATACATTTTGCTACTTACAGGGTTTTTCAAAAAGTGAACAAAGAAAAATTATAAATTCTGAGATATACTTATAAATAAATAAAAAAAAACATATTTACGGAATGTTATCGAAAATCATGTTTAATAACAAAGAAGTTAATTGCGGAACATTTTCTTTCCCCACATTTCTTTGTGATGAAAACTTTCACATAAACAAACTAAACATAATTTATTATTTTGAACGCGGGAACGTATTTTTATTATTATTAATTGCAGCGTTAAACAACATATTTGCAAAACTTTGCTTTGAGATCAATGCCATTTTATGTTTGTTTGTTATTAAAGCTACGTGAAAATAGTATTTTACAGGAGAGTCTGGTATTAGAAGAGGGATAAAGTCACCTTTTTTGTGTTCAAAAATACGTACTTACGAAGAAATTTTCGCGTAAAAGCCTGCAAGTAAAAAACTGAAAAAGCTGTGTCAGAACTAAATAGGGCGCGTAGAATTTTTGTTCACTTTAGAATTTTGTAATGTTACAGAAATCGTATTACAGAATCGTTACTTTTTACAACGAGACATGTTGTCGATACTAGGCATAATAAATAATAGTTATGACATATAGTTTTATGTATACATATATATATATATATATATATATGTGTATATATGTATGTGTATATATATATATAGTCTCGCGACGTCAAGTTGGTTCTAACTCGTTGAGCGAGTACTTTACGCTCTTATTCTGAGTCGTCACGGTTCATCTCAGATTTAAAACATCGTTCTGGAAACGATATAATTTTTTCTTGCCTTTAAAAAAAAATAGGCGCAATTGAGAAATCATCAAATATGTGCGTATAATTAAATCCGTGAGAGATACCACAATTCTCGTCATCTATTTGACAGCGAAGAATATCTTGTTTTTAATGACCGATAAAGGATGTGTTGTTATCTGAAAAATATCTAGAATAAATAACCGATTGCAGTTGACAGACGTACCGCTCTCTTCTTCATGTGTCAACGACTGATCAATATTAACCGTGACGGATATCGGACGACATTTACTGATGTGTATCATTTCCTCATCAAAATTTATCCGAAAATTTAGCCGATTATTTATCTTCGTTAAAAAGGCGCGCTATAGCAAAGTGTTGGTATGATTGAGATATTATCACTAACGTTATTAAATATAGATAGAACAGGAAGAACAAAAGTTTGATTAAGTAGATGCAAAGTGGAAAAAAGCTGCGAAATTATTAATTTTGTGATTAATTAATATTGACTAAAGTCGCTGTTAAACAATCTAACTCTATTTTTTTCACATTTTGCAAATAAAGAAATATTATAAATATACAATTTTGATTGTTTTTTTACGTTGAATATAATTATGTTACATTCATGTTGTAATTACATTTTTTCAGTACATTTATTAATTACTTCCAGCTTTTTTCCGCATTTCGCAGCCAATCGAGGTTTAGAAAGCACGTCCGTTGCGTCGGATTGGCTTCTCATCGACGAATCGAAAGTAACAGCGCAATTAATACTTTTTCAAGTATATTCGAAAGCCGCGAGAAATCTTGTGAGGGTATGTAACGCGAAATCTGTGGCTTCTAACCATTTTATAGTAAATATAAAAAATTGCGAGAAAAAATCCAACAAGAAAATCCTCGCAAACCGCTGCGGCACATATAAGACACACATTCTTGGATATAAGATATTACTATTAAAGTATAATAAAATATACTTGACTCTCCTTTTAATACCGTGTTCATTTTTAATTGTCCTTTTCTTCTTTTCTATTCCCTTTGCTGGTCTTTTTTTTTATCAGAAAAAAATCAATTTAAATCTTTCTCTTTCTCTTCACTTATTGAATTTAATATCTTTTTTTTTTAATTTACTTCTTTCTCAATAACATATAAGACAATCATATAATAAACATACATTTTTAGTATAAAATATTCGCGCAGTTATAAATTCTACGCGAAAAAGATTAAGATAAAAAATTCTTCATACAATTTTACATATATAAGTAGATATATACGTAGATATCTTACATATAAGTAGATATTTTAGACTAATCGTAGAAAAAAGTTTTGCATTTTGAGATAGAGGCACATAAAACAGTCGATTTGAAAAAGAAATCTCTTGGCCAAGACAAACAGAATTCTGCCTATTATTATAATATATATCATACGTTAGATTCCACAACTATCGCTCAATATTTTCTCAAAATAGATTTTTCATAATTTTCTGAGAATAGTTTAATATAGAAATTAGTGTAATACAAAATATCTAATATAAAAACAAGTAATAGTTTTTAATAAGCGGTTAAATATTATCAGACAATGCCGACAATATTGAGCGATCAAGCACTTATAGCAGTAAGTTTCGTAAATTACGTCAAAATTGGTATAAAAACGCATACAGTAGAACTTCCCAAAACGTACCCTTCCAAAACGTATACCCATCCACTTTCAAAAACGTAATTTTCCCTTTCATCGCTTTTCCTACCACTAACAGTACGGTTACAACCGAAGCGCTAGCGCTTGTTCAGTTAGTCCTTTGTGCATGCGTGAGTTAAAGAGTGAAGAAAATAGAGAAAATATACGTTTTGGAAGGTCGGTTCCGACTGTGTACGTTTTAGGAGGTTGTACTGTAAGTAATCTTTACAAAATAGTTGTTGCATGTATCGCAAGATACATTTGTTCATTGCAGACGCAAAAATTATATGCAATTTTGTGATTGTATAAAACGAATATTCTAACGCGAATATAATGGTCTTTAATTTATTATTTTGGTTTACCTCTCTTAATAAAAAATAGAAATTAAAATGTCCTAGGTATAGGCATATTCGCCAGTACTTCTTCAGGTATAGGTTTCTTAAAAAAAATATATAAAAGAAAAATATTACTAATTCTTGATGTAAAATAGTTTGTAGTTAAATAGTTTTAACATTCTGTAACATTCAAATACATACTTCAATTTCCCTGATAGCTTCCTGAAGCTCCATCTCTTTCTGTTTCAAACCATCTGGGCCTAATTCCTCAATTTGTTCTTTTATTCGTTCCTCATCTCTTTGTATGTACTTTTCCATCTCTTTTTCCTCCAAACTTTTTACGAACGTAATCATCGGCTGGTTAACAAAATATTTCTCAAAGAGATTTATCCAAAATGATTGTGGTTCGACTTTTAATTTCTTGAGATTGTGTAGAATATTACACATTTCATCCAACTAAACACGCAAATCAATTGTAAGTAATATAATTTAAGTGAATTGTGTAATTTGTCAACAAGCAAATGCCATGTATAACGTACCGCATTTGTATCTTCTCCAAATCTTATGTAGTTAAAGACAATATTTGCTAAATACTGTGAATCTTCATTCTTCAAGGACGATAGTACATTATTATTTATGTTGTCAATTTCAATCCTTATTGTTTCCATGTTAACACCATTCTCATGAAACTTACTAAGTACTTTCAATAGAGACCATTTCATCGTCATCTTGAGTTGGTCTACTATATAGAAAAAAAATATTACTTTCAACAAAGAATATTTTCTTGACAATAGATTTAAAATATTATAAAATTATCATTATCACATATAATAACTCAAAAAAAGAAATTATTTTCTTTTTAATAATAATATATTTAATATTGAATATAAAATGCGCCTTTTTACAGCGTACATTAGATTTTCTGAACTTGAGGTCATCTCTCGTTATTTGGTATATTAATATTTTTGTTTTAATTTTATATTTTTGATTAAAATAAAATAAACTTATTAAAAATATAATAAACTTATTAAAATTCATAATTAATTCGAGTTTATATCACAACGAGCTTACAATATATTTGCGGATATGCAGATTATAAAATAATAGAGACAAGTAATATTTACATATTCGCGACGAAAAGTGTCGTTTCAACATATCGCCTTCGTTTCCAATAAATTGAAGATTGAAGACTGAAGTATGGAAGTCAGCACATAAACACACTTTCGCGTTTTCAATGACACGTGACTCATTAAATATATTTTGTATCGAACCATTTCGTACGATATATGACCAAAGTATGTAACAGCCAAGTTTTTTGTATATTTCATTAACCAAAGATGGTTCTTGCCAAATAAAACTCATCACAATGTTGGTGGAAGTACATGGATATATAACATATATCTGTGTGTTTATTCTCTTAAGAAAAGTAAGCGTATATGGAGTCTGCCAAGTTTATATATTAAAATAGCTTCTGTTTCAAGAGAAAGAAAAAACTCAAAGAAAAATGAAATATCTTTAGAAATATGTATACCTGATCATATTCTCCATAATATGGCTCCTGTGATATTAATTTTTGTACTAAAGGCATTAACGCCTTGAAAATTGTATCATGTTTTACTTGACCCGCTATAAATATAGTTAAGTTGTTTGGCGTAAAAAACTTCTTATGGTACCATTTCATTGTTTTGTCATCATAATCACGGAAATATCTCATATCATCTATGCATACACAATAAATAATATTTGGTGTAGATTTTGAGTTTAAAAAAAAGAAAAAGAATTTTATGTAATTAAATATACACATACAGAAAAGAATTATACATATAAAAATATAAAAAGATTGTGTAGTATTTCATACCGTCATTAAGCATTTCAAATAAGTGACAATCATTGTTCTTAAAAATTGCTCTCACAGTGTCTCGCATCACTATAAACTCGAGTGTTGGATCCACAGATTTTTGTTTACAATAAAATTTTCCAGCATCCTCACCTTTACCATTAATATGATGTATCTCTGTGAGAAACGCTGACTTCTATCAAAATATATAAAACATTAACTATATTTTTAACTATTTTTTGTAAGTTTTAGATCATTTTTGATAATTTTTTAAAATTATAATTATTATAATTAATCAATAAACGATTTTATAATAATATAAAATACGAGGAAGATATATAATACAGAAGATGTTTAAAAAAGTAATCGTAACGAGATTGTAAATATTTTTGATACATGTCTCGACAATAAACACAATCAATGTCAGGTGTCCTTCACACCTGTCGTTTACGTCATTGCTTTTATTGTCGAGACTTGTTTCTCTGTGTTTACAATTCTTTTATTGCTTTATTTGCTACAACCTTTTGAGGTCTTATTCTCTCATGTTAGATTATATATTCCTCTATCGCATATGTACAAGTATAATATAATTGTTAATATTGTTTTTGTTGTGATTTATATAATGTTTTTTAATTTGTTTTATAACCAATAATAATCCTATGAAGAATTTTCTACGTGAAATTTATATTTTGTTCAATAAAATTTTATATGATCAAAAAGTACTATATGTTATTAATCAAACGTTAATGAAGAAGATCTTACCGTAAGAGTGGGATAAAAAATATGATCGAGATATACTGGCAGTAGATAGAGAAATTCTTCAGTAGTAGGTGTTGTTACTTGATAATAAGTATAATAATGAGAAGATTCAGAACTGAAAGTTGCTCGGCATCTCTCGCGCCATTTGTCTAAAGTACCGTAGTAAGGATACTTTTCGCTACCCGTGAAAATAAGATGTTCCAGTACACGAGGTAGACGATCAGAGAACATTTCATTTGCTTTTAAAACAATACTTATAATTTAATATTTAATAAACATATTGAGAAGAGAAACAAAATTTTGCAACAATTTAGCATGCATTTATATTGATGTTCAAAAGGAACAAATTTTTTGTAAAGTGTATAGTTTTAATAATATCGTGTCAGTGTATTACCATGATTAATATTGAAATAACCGCTGACATATGGGCCTTTCGTCTCCGCGAAACAAATAGTGATTCCTGTATTCACGGACTTATACACGTAGAATGGAATCTTTTTCTCAATCATCAGCGAGCGCATCTGTTTGAATTCGCTCCTATTTGCCATCGTATAATTTTTATCGCGTGATATACAGACAAAAAACAAGTTTGTGTAAAGTTGTTACTTATCTAAATCTCTCGTGTAAGTTGTAACGCGGATCAGTGATTGGGAAGCGTGGAAACTTGTTGGGATGTTTTCTCTCAACTACTCGAAGATCACTCACTACGCGCATGAAGCGACGCGGCAAAATCCGTGACTTATACGCGAGTCGGAGAACTGAATTGAATTGAATAAATAAGATTTTCATATCTCAACAACTTCTTTGTGATCTCAATCAACTGAACTTTAAAAACGTAAGAAAAGAGAATTTTTCTTCCGCGTCTTCTCTCTAAACAAAAATATTTCAACGTAATAAATAAATTATGAAAAATTTTTCACTTCTTAATAATAAAGTGATTAGTCATTTATATGTGAAAAAAATTTAATTAAAAACGTAAGCTCATAAGCAAATTGATTAATGACAAATCAACAAATATTACTGTTTTAATCTAAATTTATAAAGTTTAAAAAATGTGTTTACTCTCTAAAGATAATTCCACAATTTTTCAACTATATAAACAAGCAGACAAATGTATAGCTAATTGTTCTTTATCATTTAATGATAATTGAGAAGTTGATCTACAGCTGATAAAATAGAAAATATGATATCCATTTGTTAATTAACGTCGATGCAATCTTTATTCATGTATCTCTTTTACTTTTGCCGATAAAGTAGATATTTTTTCAATTAGTATGACAATAGATTATATATATTTTATCATAAAAGAAAGAAATTTTACACATTGTTGAAACAATATAACATTTAAGACTGACTTTAGAGTGTATAATGGCGAAGATAAAAACAAATAAAATGTAACTTGTATCTTACTGGAAAAAACTTAAAATGTCTTAATTTTGTATTTTACACAATTTTAAAATAATACAAGATAAAATTGTCTTTACTTGAAAATTTATATTGTTACTAACTATTTTGTTGTACATTTCTAAAGCATTTAATAATGTGAAGACATATAAAATATAACGCAAAAATTTATAATAATCAGACAATTGTCTTTTAAATCTTATCCATTTTTATTTATACTTTTTATCATAGAACAAATATCTTTCTTGTGCTTTATTTTAAATTTCTAAGTAAGTATTTTTTGTTTGTAAACAATATCTAATATGCTTGTTTTAATATGTTTTGAACAAGTGTTTTTCAAAATGAAGAACGTTATCTGTCATCAAAGTTATCTGTTTCTATATTCGATATTTCATCGTACATATATTCTCCAAACTGATGTAGTGGACCACAGGTTCTATTTCGGAAGTCACTTCTGCGCTTATGTTCATGCGAGATCATAGCAGGTGGCACTTCGGCGAAGTCGAAGATACCCCCACGTCCTCGAGATGGAAGCAGTCAAGATGTAAATTCGATTGGAGGTACCGGCTACGCGGGATACTCTTATTTCCGAAGCTCCTACGAAAGAGGATGGGCGTTAGCGACAGATAAAAGGGAGGGAGTCTGGTGTGTCCTCCAGCTCGTTCTCCTCGTTCTTCCCAGCGGAAAGGATGCCTCTGGGAGCGTCGCTTATATCGAGTTAGAGCCGTTTGAATACAGACACGCTTCTCCGCTACCGTTGGAAGGGGTCCGCTAGACTGGCGGAGATATCAGGGGGATCAAAAGTTGATACCCGGCGTATCTTCCTCGCGCGACTCCAGCTATCCTTATATGATTACCCGAGGAGACCTCCTACTACCGGTATTTCTAGGGAAAGACTATCGGCGCAGAAACCTATCCTATCCTCCTCCCTCACCGCCATCTTAAGACCAATGCACTAGTCATGCACGACGCGTAGAATACTTAAGGATCCGTGTCTTCCATCCGTATCCTCCTACCACCCCATCCACGGCGACCTCCATCTTCTCAGGCTAGGCGGCTTGGAATGACGTGTAGTACGCATAAAGTATTCCTAGGAGACGATCCGTTTGAAAACTGAGTTACGACTGCTACGTAGTCCAGAGGCAAGCGATGCGGTCCGCGACATCGATGAGGTCGAACGCGAAATTATGCACGGTATCCCGCGCGTAGAGAGGGATGATTATATTTCCATTTGCCAGCGACGGAATGTTACGCGCGGGAGCGATAAACGCGAGCAAGCGGAAAAAACTCGGATCGGAAAGGATGAGTGATTCCGAATAATGTTGTTTCGCGTTTAGTTAAATTTGAAATTTTTTTTTTTTTTTAATTTAATTCAAAAATAATTAAATAATTTACAGATTATTTACTATTAAAAAAAAAAACAAAATTGTATTTTTAAAATATTTGTTTGTTTATTATATATATTTTGTAACTTTGTTTCTATTCTAACGGTTATAACATATGTTGTAATATCGCCGCTCTTTTTGAATTTTTAAATTTTCGCTAAAGTATTTTATTTAAGTATATTTTTGGTATGTTCAAATATCTTTTCACGAGAATGTTGTCGCATAAAATGTCGTACAAGAGTTAGGATACCAAAGAGGCGAGGAAGACTCGTTGATCCTACTCATCAATGATGCAATCGTAGGAGATACACGATGTTACGGTTGCTTCGGTTAAGACACGATGCATGTCCTTGGGGGTCGATTTCGCCGAGAGGACGACACAGCATCGACGAATAATCACTTTTCCGAAGTATCTTTCGGCCAAGCATTCTCACAGATAACCATCCGCATTCGTGAATAATCATTTATTCAGGATGGGTAATGAATCGGACGCCCATGGGATTGTCGTCATCGCCTTCATGTGGATCGTCTATTCGTGAGTTCTCATTGATTCCCGGAAACTTGTAGGTTTTACCGGAACGTGGCATTGTCGCAGTGCCGGTCTCTGTACTCGTTTATCTTATCTGCGACCTCTCCAATTAATCTGGAATTGATTTTTTTTTTTTTTTCAGTGAAAAGACACTTATTCAACCTTCCTTGTAATGATTCTAATCTAATCTTAACACTTCAGAGTCAATTTGAGTCTAATTTGAACATTTTAATGCAACTGATAATGAAATAACGAGTATGTTTATATTTTAGTGATTGTTTACGTAGTTTTAGCATCTCGAAAAGAGAGAGAGAGAGAGAAAGAGAGTTTAAAGTTTCATGTTGTGTTGAGAGTTGATCCATTAGGAAGATGTTGTGGGAACCTATGCAAGAGTCGGAATTCGAATCGATCTCTGACTGTATTAAGTCGGTCCGGCCGGAGTCGCTTGATTGATCGTCGAAACGCGCGACGTGCCCTTTTCTTTCGCGCGGTCGTAAGCGACCATTTGTTTTTCTCTTCCCGTTTTCCATGTCGAGCAATTTGTCTAAAGTCTCCCAGTACGTGGAAGAGAGAGATAGTCACCTCGTTATTAGAGAAGCCTACTGATAAATAGCTACGTCGGTGACAGCTTGTCGTTTGGTCGCGATCAAAGGTCAAACTATATAAAAAAAACAAAAAACTTTGAAATTTATCTATTGCGTTATTGTCGCTACGCGAGATAAAATATAGAAAAATTTGTATATAGAAAAACAAATTTGAGAAATGTCTTAAAACCACGCCAGAGGAAGCTAAGCGATTCGAACCGGATGCTACGTCAGTCGAATTGACGAGGAAGCGTGCTCGCGCGAATTAGTTACCATCCGACCTCTATGTGGCTCTAACTATAAGTGATTGTGAGCGAAATTGCGCTTGTTCCTGTACGTTCCCGTCAACGGAAGGAACATATCTCCGTCACGATCCGCGCATGGAACGAATTAGCGCGCGGCACGCAACACACGAAAATTGCATGAACCGCCGCGAGTTCCCTAATCTCCCTCTCAAAAATTCCATTAGCCGCGCGATGTCCAACGATAATTGGACATCGACGTTTTTTAATCCGACTGACCCGTGCAAATGCGACTGACGTGAAAATCCACAGTCCGGGACGCATTTGCGCGAAATGAGATTTTGGTACACACGGTCGGTAGAATAAAAAAATGAAAAAAATATGTTATAACGCGGAATTGATATGGCTGAAGAGAAAGAGAGAGAGAGAGAGAGAGAGAGAGAGAAAGTACGTACACATAATATTTTGCAAATATCCAAAAATATCCAAACAATGTAGAAATAATTTTGCGCTGAGAAAACACAAATTAATGTATATCGCATTTTTATGATGCATGATGAGAACAAATAAGCGACATAATGTCACTTACCATTTTCTGAAGCGATTTAAGAGAATCGTTTAGCCAGATTAAGAGTAATTACGTATGTATCATAGTGCAAGTCTCAACGGAGCAAAATTGATTAATATTGATGCGAGTGGAGGACAAAACCTCATTAAATAAACGTGACATGAATTAAGATGATGAATATTGGTTTTTGTGCGTTGACACTTTTCGAGATGTACAAAAAACTAAAAGAATAAAGAAATAAGACATATTGCGCAATATCTTTTTACTTATGTAAAATCCGCGTGAGATAACATAAAATAGATTTGTTGTTGTTTAATACTTTTTAAAAATTAATTTTCGTGCACGCGCGTATTTTATAACTATAACTTTTTATAAAAAGTAATTGTAGCGCGATCATATTTCCCTTCATCCTCCAACGGACACATCCGTACGTCGGATCCTCGCGCCACTACATCACTCAGAGTTGTCACAGGCCGAGACAGGTTACGACGTCCTCGGTTGCCACCAATTTGGCGACGCGCTCGCACGGCGTTCGTGGATCCGAACCGAGTTATTGCGGGGGCGGCGCGCAGGACGAGGATTGTAAATAATATGGAAAACCGCGGAGGGGTGGAATGTCGCTCTCCACCGGAGCGACACTCCGCCGGATGCATACATGTGTACGTTCAGCAAGGACATGGGAAAAGGAATATGAAAAAGGAAAACGGGACGAGAGGATGGAGAGAACGGGGATTGGAAAGGAGAGAAGGGGGTGGACGACGCGGGGGGTTCGGATAGCGCCTCTGACTGGCGGTATACGTCGGTGACCCGAGTCGCCATATTTCAAAGTAGCGCGTCCTCCGAGGGGTCGTGAATACCTTAATAGTCATAAGGTGTATCCACATACGCGCGGTATATAGAGTTGTCCTCTAAAACGTATTCGAACGTTCCACGGTATGCAGCTGCGCGATATGATACGCCCTGAACGGCTGTTTTCCGCAAGAATACGAGAAGAGACGCAGACTGCAACACAGTGCAACGCGCTCGAACGGTTATGTCGTCGCAGGAAAATTGTAATAAACCGTGAATAACTCGCGATTGAAACGCGTAAAAGAAAAATTGTTCGAACATATTTTCGACGTTAGAATCGTTTAGATTCGTTAGAAGCAAGTTTCTTCGCCGCGTGATCCAGTTTTTTCGTTTATTCGCTTTTTTTTTTTTTTTTGTATAAATAACTAAAATTAATTATCTTGTAATCATCGTAAATCTGCCTCGCAAGTGCTTGATCCACGATCGCGTTTCACGAATGTCCATGCACGGCTCACTGCTATTTAATAATGAGAGGCTCTCTATTACTCAATGGCTATTAGGAAGAACGGAGAAGGGGTGGGCTTTCGGTTCCACTCGGTTCACGGTGCAATCGGTTAATCACCGCTCTCTCATCCCCAGTCCACCGCCTGAGACAAGGTTTAAGCGCCAACGTAGCCGCCCCCTCTCTCGGCTCACCTACCCTTGGTCCTCATATCAATTAATCTTACCCAGAATGCAATAACTGTCCAATCTGCTCCCGTGGCTGCGTCATGGTGTCGTGCAGTCTGTGCCGTAATGTCCGTCCTCCTTTACCGTGCTCCCTTTATTTATCTCTCTCTTTTCTCTCACCCTTCTCTTTCGAAAATAAATTCTTCGACGTCCCGCATCTTTTGTTTCCCTATTGCTCGGTCCTTATCTCGGCAACGTCCACACGATCGGAGGCGGACATGATAGAAGCTGTAAACGAGCCTACGGAAAATCTCACGTTTCATCCCCCAACATCGTTCCTGGGACGAAATAATGAGCGAGCGAGAAGAGTAAAACGGGAGAGAAATAGCGGCCAAGTTCGGGAAAACTCGACGGAAAACATATTGGGCCGTTAAGGGATTCTTCGAGGTAGTCTGCTTAATTGGCACGGCCGTTTAACCCTGAATTACAGCGAGTGAAGCTCGGAACGATTGTGATCCGGTAGTGCCAGATTCAACGACCTTGATTAATCGAGCTATCGGCTCGAACAAAAAGTAAAAGATCATCTAAAATGAAGATGCGCACTGTGTGTAATTATCTTCAGTTAGTTTTTTTTTTTTTTATTTAGTTTTTTTATAGTTTACTCGAACATTTTCTTGAAAATAAAATATTATTTCAAAACAATTATTTTACATACGCTACGTAATTGTGTTCTCATAAAAAAAAAAAAAAACACCAATAAACACGCAAACGAAATAAAAATTATTCAACTGCTGAAAGAGAGGAAATGAGTAACTATAGAGTCATCGTTTACAAATGGTAACAGCGTTTATTGTTAATAATAATGACAATAATATTAATAGCGAGTTTCTAATTACAATAATTACATAATGATATTAATGGTACAACAATAAAAACTTCGATAGCGAGAAAAAGGGAAGAATATAATATAATAACTTCTTGGTGAGGCCACGGCGAAAGCGAACCGCCATTTATACCGGAACGACTCAGCGCCGCACACACACATGTGTGTTTTTCGTGTTTTTTCTATTTATAATATTTATAGCTTCACAATTTTTTTCTTCATATTTATATTCATATTTTTATGTATATATTTATACGCTTAAACTAGCCGTGATACAGTCTACATGCTATTTACAAGTTTTTTTGGTCACAGTGGCAACTTTTAGGGGGAATTGGGCTTTTTTTTTTTTAGCCCATTCTTCAACGACAGGTGTGGGAGATATGCAAAATACAGTACGTTCTCGACGTTTCACCTCATCACGTAATCATTCGACACTCATGCTACTCGGGGGGAGAGAGGGGATAACGTTTCTTCTTGTCATATACTTGTTGTTTTTTTTTTCAAAAAAATAACATGTACTTGCGAATCAGAATTTTCTTTCAGAAAATCCAGAATCTGATTCTAAATCTTTGCTTGTGTTTCAGCAACGTGTTTCGCTGTTTATCACCTTGTCGTATGATACGTCGTTAAAGCACAGATAAATTGGTCAACAAAACATCTCCTTTTACAAAATGCCCGACTAACTTGAGGGTCGCGCCGCGTGTGTGTCTATCTACAAGAGAAAAGTTAGAGTAACAGGTATAATCGATTAGAGCAGTAGATAAACGTCGATTAAAGTGGAAAGGGTTAGGACCTTGTATCACACTCGTAACAAAAACAATTCCTTCGCCGCTTTCTTACGCATTTTTTTTTTGTTTTTTTCAAACTCATAAGTTATCATTTTATTTAACAAATCGTCTCTGTCACCGTTGTTCGAATATCATAAAACTCACCGTAGGAACTAAACTTTGGCTTTATTATGTATCGTAATTAATACGATGCTTTCCGATAAAAATGTCTATGAAATATCCTGAGAGTTAAGAGTTTTCGAAAACATGTGTGAAAGTGACTGCGTTATAGATCAANNAAAAAAAAAAAAAAAAAAAAAAACAAAAAACTCACGATAAAAATTCTCTTCAAAGTTTTTCTCTTTCAAATAATCTCCATCTTGTTCCAAAAGAAAACTCAATCTCGAATTACACCGCGCGCTCCGATTGAATTTCAAATTTACGTACACTGGGAATTTTTGTTTTACAATTAGCGTTACTCACAAATGGATGATATTAACGTTTTGAACTGTTGATAATTTGTGAGGTAACACAATACTTTTTTTATCTCAGATTAATTGTTTCTCCTAATTAGTGCACATTAGCGCAGTTCTTTTTTTTTACGTTGATATTTTAAATTACAATTGCAAATTTATATATTACATACAAATGTACGTCGCCTAGATGTAAAGCTAATTGTCTATATTTAATAAGAAAATATATTGAATAAAGAATATGTATATATAGGAAACAATACGAAATGCAAAAAGTTGATATTCTCCAGTCATTAACCCACCATAATAATTCGCTAATCTGCAATCGTCTCGTTGATTATTTCGTCCGTGATATCAATTTAAACGTTCTCTCGTCGCGTGTTTCCACCATCATCGACGGTCATGGTGGATCGTCAATAACAATTCCACTTCTCGCAGCAGTCACGTTCTCAATCTGATCGGACTCCCTGATTCGCGGAAACGTGCCGCTAATTGCAACGATTGCCAATTGCAGTTATGCGTCGTCCCGGCAATTGCGTATTATCAGTCGCTGCTTCGTTTCACTGTATCATCGGCGGATTTCCACTGGGCAGAGAATTCTGGCCGGGAATCGAACCAATCGGCGGTCGATGCGACGTGTTGAGATCGGCGTGTTGGGTCTCGCGATGCCTCCTCAGATCGACCTTCCGCTGAAAAGCTCGGCCGCAGAGCTCGCAGGCAAACGGCTTGAAACCCGTGTGCTTCCTCGAATGCGTGATCAGGTTGCTGCTTTGCGAGAACGCCTTGCCGCACACTTGACACTTGTGAGGTTTCTCGCCTGCAACAGAAGAAAACGTAGAAAATGAAAGAAAAATATAAATTTTCGACTGATAAAGACTTTTGTTTGATCAATATTTATAGTTGCACTTAATTGTAACAAACAAACAATTATTTAGCGCCAGTTGCCATTTTATTTTTATTTTTATTTTAGAGATGCTGACATAACATATTGTATCACTTAAATCAGTTTTATAAAGAGATACTTTATTTCAAATATAAGCTTAAAAGAAGAGAAAAAACTCCAACAGCGCAATCCTGATTTTCTCTTACGTTCGCCTGCCACATTCCAGTGAGCATGCACGTTAATCCCGAAGTACCGATTCTCAGTGCTGCTGACTCTATCCTGCTCGGTCAAGTCTTTCCTTGGGCAAAAGGAAAGGCTAAAGAAAGAAAGAAAGAGAGAGAGAGAGAGAGAGAAAGAGAGAGAAAGAGAGAGAGAGAGAGAGAGAGAGAGAGGAGGGCGGGGAGAGAGCTAGCCACCTCACAAGACAGGGGGTGTAGGTGGCATCAGCGATGCGGGGCACGCCCGGTTAAGATTTCCTCCCAAGCGAGAATCTCAGCCACCCCGGCGGCGAGAAAAGGCAGAGAGAGACAGACCGAGAGAAGAGCGAATAGTAGTAAGGGGTGCTTTTATGCGCGCCGCTCCAGGTTCGTTGTCTCAGGGGCGAGGAGAGAACAGCGGCGGCCACGGTTAGAAGGGTCGCCGCTCGTTTCTCTCATCCTGGCCGCGAGCTCTGATTGGCGGCCGGGGGCGGCTCCAACCCCCGTGTTACCATGGCTACCGGCGGGATAACCCGGCTGCTGCTAACTGAGGGCAAGAGAGAAAGAGGCTGCTAGCGCCGAGGGGTGGTAGTGACGGCGGTGGTGATGGTAGCGGCACGACGACGATGCGAACTACGCCGGCGGTGGCGGGCAACGGAGGGCCCGTTAATGGACTTCCCTGTACGTCCATACGTCTGGCCGAGCAACCGGTACACACGTACGTACAGCACCGCCGGCTCACCCTCTCTCGGCATCGGCACGGCCGACGGGCGGAGGAGGGTGGATCCATAAACAACTCGTTAGCCGAGCCTTCAATCTCGCCCTGCCGATACGACGAGGCCGTCGATCGCCTCTGCGATTATACCCGGCCGCGATCTTGATTTCCTATCTGGGAAAAAATATTGGCTGTTCCTTCTCGGAGATTTCTCGGGACCGGACGTGGCAGATTCGCCATGAAACGCGCTATTTCTCCCGCTAAATTCGCGAACACCGCCATCATCGATCAAAGCGCACATCTGTTTGCGCAAATATTAGTTATATTTTGTTTGACTTTTCTTTGGATCTGATGTTTGATAATATTGAACACACATGTGACACTTCTTTATATAACAAACAATATCGAATCTGAAATTTTTATTTTCCAAATTTTTTTTTTTTATTGTTAGAGAAAAACCACGATTTTTTCGTTCGATCGAGAACGCGCGGAGTCATATGTGCATAATAAATTTTTTCGTCTTCTCAACATCGATAAAAGTTTTTTTGCGTATCACGAAGCTCTCTATACGCATTTTTCACAGTCATTTTGCGCGAACATCAGCCGCATAGTTGCGCGCCGACCTTCGGATCAAGATTCACGCGCGGATTCGGAGTTTAAGGACGCGCTTTCGTAGAGGGTGTACCGTAGGAATCCGACGAGTACGCCGCTCGATGAAATTCCACGGAGTTCTCCGCGGAACACCGGGAGGGTGAGACGAAATGTTGGAACGGGTAGAATTTTCGCGGAGTTAAGCGCCCGGTGGAAGCCAGAGGGGGGTGGAAGAGCGCAGGGCGGCCGTTTGAAATTTATGAGCTCGTAAAATCAAGAACCGTCCGAGCGCTCGCACCGAGGTTGCCCGTTTCGCGTCTATATCGCAACGACTTCGCCATGGTTACGGAATATCGCTTCCGCCGGGTGGATGGCCACCGAAAAATCCGAAAAGTCTCTCGCTTTCCAAACAAACCCTTCACACTTGACCGAATAAAAATGGATCTCTCGAAAATCTATATTTCTTTTTTTTTTGTAGCTGCGCTAAGATACGTAAAATAAAATTAAAAAAAAAAAAATTAAGTCTTCAATCAGTTTCTTTCAATCTGTTTTGTATCTGGAGGTAAACTTTACCGATCAATTTTGGAAGTTTTGAAATATATTGCGCATATCTCTACTTGTCTTTTGTATATTAGTTTACGTTACATCTTGTTATTCAACATGATATACTTTTCGCAATTTGCCACCCAGAGCGAGATAATGCCAGCGCTCTTATATTCTTTCATATTGTTGATGTAGCGAGCGCGAATAGCGGCATTTTTGTGCGGTCGAGAAGATATTAGGTTCCGCGCTCTCGTACGCGAGAGAAGGTGGCACTTTAAAATATCATTTTCTTGAGAAAACGAAGGATTAAGGGGACGGGAGAAAGAGAAGGAGGGGAGAATAATGTGTAGAAATGGAACGCTCGGTCTACTGGGATTCTCGTTTCTCGGAAACGAAGTAAAGAAGAGAAAGACAGGACAAAAAGAAAAGGAGCCGGCGGAAATTTACGCGCTCGTAAAAATCAAGAGCCGTCGGAACTCTCTCTTGGATCCGTCCGAGTTTATTTCTTCTGGTGGAATTGTCTGTGTCAAAATACCCGCGCGTTAATAAATTCGGTAGGAAGCTTTACCGAGTTTAACGCGCGTTATTTGCGCGTTACAAAAATTAAACAACTCCTTGAGAACACGCGTTGTCGATTAATTGATAATAAATGTTTTTCTCAACGAGATTTTTATTATAAAGTTTTATCCGTTTGTACGTGTATATATAACTTATAGATGTCAATATTCTTCTGCAAGAAAGTAAACAAGACGATGCAGTCTCAATGCGAACGTGAACGGAAGGATGATCGATGATCAATAATAACACACACACACACACACGTACATTTCGAATATAAAATTCCAACTGCGAACGAAAGAATTTTTGAAAGTAGGGAAAAAGAAAATAAAGAAAATAGTTTTGCGCAAGCAGAATATACGTGATCTTATGTGTTCTTCGTGACAGAAATGTCAAAGCGATATTTAATGTTTGTTTGAATGTTATAAACTTTATTAGATTTCACACACTTTTCGAACTGAGTTTTTCGATTCACTTTATACTTTATGGAGTTGCAATATTTTCAACATTTTCAAGTTCGAATGTGTACATCATCAAATGTAAATGATTAAAATTGAGAAAAAACTCTTGTGGCAACTTTGGTATCAATTTTCAGTGATTCGATCAATCGGAAATCGTGAATTATCCGGCGCGCGGATTCGCCGAGAATAAAGTAGTTTTCGAAAGAGCGGCAGATCCGGTGCGGGGGAAAAAAAAAAAAGCGGAACGTCTCTCGGAATTTACGTGCTCGTAAAAATCAAGCACCGTCGGAGCACGCCCTCTATCCGTTCCTTATTTCTTATGCGAGAAGCAACCGCCGGTGGTTTCCGATCTAAATGCATACGAGGGAAATGCATTCTCTGCCGCAGCCTGTGCACGTAAACGCGCGGCTGCGAGAAGTGGTGAGATCAAAGATTTAACCGACGGGCAGCAGTTGAGATTCGGCGCTCGCGAATTTTTAACGACAAACACGCCGAGAATCGTGCGAGGTCGAGAAGCGAGAAGATTCGGGGCTGAGAACCCCTGAGGTTTAAGACGCCATTACACCCCTCGGGGCTCTGTCGGCCGACGCCCCTAAAACTATATTAAACTCCCGGAAATCTTGCGCGCGCGAGGGTGCTTCGTCTCTCCGCTAATTCTCCCGCCTTCGCGTCGCTCGCCCGTTGCGAGAGAGCCGCAAGTTCCGCCATCCCCTTCGCACGTTTCTCTCGCGAACGAACTCACTCACGAGAGAGCAGGAAACCGAGACGGCATTTTGATCAACTCGCTCGACCAAGCTGTGCCGTGTGCTGCCGTCGCGGCAACTGCTTGATGGGAGACATCTCGATCCGGCAATCTGGATTTATGTATTCAGCTTCCTAACACTTTAATGCTCATTTAAGCCGCTGATATTTCACCATTTGCGTTTTCGTCAGACATATAGGATGTACAAACGACTTATGCCAACGATATTTCTCAATATTATGTGGTAAAAAGTAGTTTTTTTTGAGAAAAATTCTTGTTAAGTTTTGGATGAATAATATCAAAATGCATATACTTCTCCGAGATATTATGCGCAACATCAATATCGCAGTGATAAAAATACATCTTCCTCTTTCTCTCTCTCTCTTCGATATTGGTTTCGACGTTTAAACTACTGCCCGTCTTCAAATTTAGAAGATGTGTGATTCAACACACACACACACAGTAGTGATAGAGAAGTGTACGGAAAGGATTGATATGGAGAAAGTAAGACAGCCAGAAAGAGAACGAGAGGAAAACGGTAATAGTAAGGTGGAGAAGGTGAGTCGGACGCTGGTCGAGGCATTGATTTCTTCTCGTCTTCATCGACCACGTTCGGAGCCTCTTGGGGCGTCTCTGCCCTCTAACTGAAATCCTCGCGAGAGACGGAAAGAGGGCGGAATCGAAGAAGAGCGCCATATCTCATATTTCATATCGAGGACAGCATGGATTTTCTTTCGTATCTTCAAAGCTCCGCGCGCAAGGATTACCCGAGGATATCAATCAGACCTTCGCTTCTCTGTAGCGCGGTGTACGTCTTAGCGAGCAAAAAGTATTGAAGGCATATGATTGGAGAGAACCGGTGGAAAAAAATTACTACATTCCAGATATTCCGTCAAAATACACTAGTGTTAGTTTCGTGTATCACTTAAAGAAAATTAATTCTTCGGAATATTTGTATTTTTTTTTTTTTTACAATACAAGCGCAATTTAGAAGTAATACAAATTTCTGCGTCAATCAAAATTAACATTTGTGTTTTTATCCAGAGAGCAAAACAAATTGTAAAAAAATTGCAAATCTAGTTGCAAAACTTTTAAAAATGTAAAAATTACTCGCGAAATAATTTAAC